TGCATGGGCAATGTCTCAGGCTGGTTCTTAAAGACCTCATAACTCTTCATGGAAAATATGAACAGCTGACATAAAGAGCTGCAGTGAGGAAGCAATTTGCAGCGCACAAGAAATTTTATTGGACCTACAAAATCCAAAACTAGATATGCATTCTTCGGCATCATATGCTGGCACCTTATCTAGTTCCTAATTATTTGCACAGATAGAAAGCCTCTTGCAACAAAGTTTTTAAAAATCCACTATTGAGAAACAATTCTGCTTCTATACAAGAGACTGTTATATTTACTCCATTGTTCTTTATTGTTAAGAACATATGCATGCAAATAATAAAATCTTTGTATGCTATGATGAAGATTCTGTCTGCTCCTCCATGAGTGTGCAAAGGTAGGAAGGATGGAGATGGTCCAATTAACCCTCTGACCTCCCTTATTCACCTCAACAAGGGCGAGCCAGGATTCAGTTCTTGTTCTCTTTGGGTGAAATGCATCCCTATGCAGAGGGCCTGCACAAAGGCTCTGCTCACTTAAGTACTCAAAATAGGGCTTGAGTGGGACAAGTGGTCCCTAGACCTTCTGCTGGCCCTCAACACCTGGTGGGCTTTTTCCCTTGAGGGCAAGATGTGAGGAAAGATTAGCTCTGCTAGTGGTCACCTGCTGCCTAGTTACTATGTTGATAGGTTTATTAGAAATGCCAAAAGAAAAGGAGTACTGGTGGCACCTTAGAGACTAACCAATTTATTTGAGCATAAGCTTTCGTGAGCTACAGCTCACTTCATTAGATGCCAGTGATACAGTGGGCCCACTTCATTTTTGCCATTCTGAAAGCTAGTCCCAGTTTGAAAACTACTTATCCATCCACTGGGAATATTGGTAGAAACAGTAAATAATTGTCAAGACTCCCCAGTGTACATTGATTAGATAGGCAGGGCCTCGATATATTTCCCCTTCTCTGTGCACCAATCTGAAGTTCTTAACTCAAGTTAAGACCACATGCTTAATTAAAAGGAGATGCAGGAAAAACCCAACCTAGTTTCAGTCATCCTCACACCCAGCACCTCAAAAATACTACTTCCGATTCTCCCACCCACACCTCATCATCTTTCAGTCCTTCATTCAGACACCACTGAGCAAGCCATTTTACAATGGTGGGTAGAAAAAAGGCACAAGACTTGGTGAACTTGTTTTCCAAAATTAAGAGCTTTAAGAAACATCTAAGCTGCTGCTCTGCATAACATCCCATCACAAAAACCACTTTCCCCCATTGTGGGTACAATCAGAAGTGAAACAAATTTGTTCCTTTAGAATGAATAGCTGTAATGAGTCCATGGCCACATAAATACAGACCCCAGTCAAGAGTGGACAGAGAACCCAGCACCCGCAACACTAAAACCATAAGCTCCTATTACTTGAGCGAAAGTTAATTCATTATCTCCAAAGGACAGGGCTCTTATCCTCCATGCCAGAGAGAAACATGATCACATGCAATATGCTAACAGACAGTTCTTGAATCTGAAAATCAAACTTTAACTGTCTTTATATAGTTTTTTCCATTTTTGGCAAACATTTTTGAAATTGCAATTTATGTGCTGATAAAGTGCTCACATTCAAGGACTTTGGAAAAATCTAAGTCATAATAAAATCACAAATTCGATAGTGTTGAAATGCTCCATGATTTTCTTCTTCCTTTTAATCAGACATTATTGCTACTGGGTTGCCTGCCTTCCCTGCACTAATTCCGCATGTTCAAAGGTTGCATGTGAAATCTGTAGCAATACATCCTGAGGCATAGAGAAAACAGAGGGAACAGAGAAGGGAGAAGGAGAGGATGAATAGGAAAAGGGACAGTGCTGTAATGCTGAGATGGAAATAAAGGAGGAATCATAAGATGAAAACAGGCAGGCACATGTGAAGCAAAAATGTATGCAACATATGTGAACACTACAAGTAGCTTACTCTGTGTTTTGAATATTGGACATATAAGTATATCTAGACTTATATGCACTATTATGAAAGGGGCCATCTTTATTATTGTAGTAAGCTCACATATGTAACATACATACAAAATATAACATATGTGGATATGAAACACATGTCCTCATGTACTTCCTTCCACACATGGGAAATCATAACAGGCAAGAAGAGGACCAGTATATTTTATAGAAATATGTAAATATACACACACAATACACATAAATGGATAGAGAGAGACAGAGAAATGAGAAGACAAGAAGGAATAGAGAAGGAAGTATTTAAAAATAGCAAGAGGTAGGAAAAAAGAGGATTAATTTTGTATGATTTTTCAATGCCCAAACCATAAACACAAGGACACTCAGCAGATCATACTTAGTCAATGTTTCCACATTTTTCTGCTGTTTTCCATAGTTGGGGCAAAGATGACAAAGGTCTGAGCCAAGCTTTCCATTGGCTTTGACTTTAAAATAGAAGTGTCGATCCACTATACAAGATGTCTTATTTCGGCTTTACATCTGCAGTTTAATTGTCAATGTTTGTACACCTGCTTCCCATGTAGAAACTTAGAATGCAGAAGCATTCTAGGCATCCAGATGAGCAGAAAGTGCCAGACATAAAGACGTGATATAACAGATAATACAGCATATTATGGCTCAGATTCTCTCCTGTGCTGAGATCTGCTCGGTGCAGGGGTACTGGTTGGCTGAAACAGTTCTGTGGGCCAGTTTGTGCCAGCCCCAGGCCAAAAGGGACGACATGCCATCTGTGGATCAGGGCTATATGCCAACTGTACTATGCCTCTGCCCCCCTCCAATCTGTGACACATCCCTCAACGCTGGGCAAAGGAGGATGGTAGGAACAGGAGACAGCTCTCACAGTTTTACACCCAGTATTATCAACCCAAAGTGTTTAAAAATCAGGAGGCAGACCTCAAATTGACTTCACAAGTATGAGATTAAAAAAAAAGTTTGACTCTATTTACCTTCTCACTTTTGATATTTTACTGTTCATGTTTTCAGGCTTTTCTCTGCAACCTAGAAGGCTAGAAACTTGTTTAAAATATAAAAAGAGTGCTGAGAGTCTGATGTAATCACATGACTCTAAGAGATGAAGCTTTAAGAAAAACATAGCAAGACTCAGGACAAAATTGCAAGAATTGGCAAAATTGTTTACAGCCTAGTGTTTCACCTTTGCTGGGAGGATTCTCACCTGGCCAGCTACAGCCAGACGGGCTCCTTTGCACCACCTGAGTAGCAAAAAGTAACCAGCCTGGGAATAGAATCTGACCCTTTAACACGAGGGAGTAAAAAATGAGTGGAGAACACAGATTAAAGTAAATGGTGGATTCTCTGTAACCTGAAGTCTTTAAATCATGAGTTGAGGACTTCAGAGGTTATGGGTCTATTACAGGCTCTGTGGCCTGTAATGTGCAGGAGGTGAGACGAGATGATCATGATAGTCCCTTCTGACCTTAAAGTCTATGAGTGATTGCGCAGGCAAAGCGAGGCCCTACACTAAACTTGACAGATTTCTGTGTTAGTTGGTATGTAACAGGATAACTCTGGAACACCACATCTGATCCATTCCAAAATTTCAGGAAATATTCTAGACATCAGTGGCAGAACCCTATTGATTTTAGGGTAAATTGTAAAACCTGAAAGGGAAAATGGGGGACACACAGAGCCCGTGGATCTGCTGAGAACACCCAACAGCTTTGACTGGCTCTGTCATGGTCTATAGAACAAAGAACCAGTCAAAGGACAGCTATTAACACCCCTGTACAGCTCTGTCCAGATCCCAGTGAAGTCTAAAATATTGTCCACCAGAATGACTTATCTCCTAAACAGAAGGAAAAGAAATAATAGCAGGGGGAGCCCAAAGCGACTCTGCATGCAGAACATTTGAGTTGTCGGGGACATGAGGTAGTGGCATTTTATGAAAAAGAGTTACCCATAAAAATTCTATAAGGTCTGCAATAGTATTTTTCTCACTAGATGCCCTCCTAGAATTCATCTGATATCAGCTGTTTCCAGACAACTGTTCAAATAAAAAGCATATGGAGAATGCCAAGAAAAGGAGCAATGGGCCCTTTAAAAAAGAAAAGCAGGGAGGTAGGGGAGAAAGAGAGAAGGAGAACCAAAATATAAGTGAGCACTGCTTGTTTCATCTATTAGCACAAGGCAGTGTTTGCAGTTAACATTTAATTAATTCAATTAATTTAATCAATTAATTCCGTTCAATTCACTGGCCCACACTGACTCTGAAGCCTCCTAGAAACAGAGACCTTATGACAAGGTGATCATTTCCCCTTATCTGACGGCTAACAAGGTATTATGTGACCATGCAAAGCTACTGTCTGCCTTGCTAGTGTGTGAGAGTGGTTTTCCCTGGCTGGCTGATTCATTTTCAGCCTCTGAATGGGTCTTCTTCTGCTCAGTGCTATTAGTCCATAACTTAAGAAAATTCACTTGCAAATGTGTATACTGAAATTAAAGAGTAATAAAAGAATATTGAAATGTTTCCAAATAACTACAGCGCACTGCAATTTAAAGAGGAATGGGAGAACGTAGACATCTAATAATTTGACCTCAACTCTCAAACTCAGGGTTATATAGGAAGTAGGGGCCCGATTCTGGTGATTTAGAGCCGGCAGCCCTACAGCAACCACACCTCACAGACTCCAGTATTTGGACATGCTCTGAGAATGGCTGCAAGTTGGAAGGGGTGGTGTAGGCAATGGCTGGAGTATTTTGCATAAAACCACCTCTGCCCCTCCACGTAGGATGAGTTATCCAGGAGGCACAGCACAGAATCCAGCCCTGGTATTCCATCATAAATTACTTCACCTTTTTATATTTCTGACTTCCTTTTCTTTGCATTACTGAATTTATTTTTGGATACTCCCTGTGAATTCTGAAGATTTTCATGTTAAATGTGAAATAATTTGACAGTCCAAAGTCTTAACCTATGCTTACTTTAGACATCATGTTCTTTTCACTACAACATATAAATAAATGACACTGGTTATGGTAATTTTAAAATTAATTTAATAAATTATAATCAGATTAAAACAGTCATTTGGCTATTTCAATATTACACATATCAAATACAAATTTCTAGTGCACACAATGCATTCAGAAACATGGGAACTTGAAGATCGGCTGCAACCAACATTATAGGAACCTGCGGAGTTTTAGCTCAATCAGCCATTTTTTCCTTTCCTTCTGGAGATACCCCAGTGAGATTATTCTGTTTATGGAGCTTTCAAAGATTGCTACTGATGGGTGAATACATTTCAATGTAACATGTGTGACATTTAGCAATAATATAGCACACTCATCTCCATGGTACCTACCCACATCATTTAAATCAAACTCGCAACACTCTTGTGAGGTAGGTACTTTTATCTCCATTTCAAAGATGGGAAAACTGAGGCACAGAGTGAATAAATTACATGGCCAAGGTCACAAACTGGGAATAAAACCTAGATTTGTTGGCTACTATGCCTGTGTTTTAACTACTAGATCACATTTCCACAATCTGAGTTAGAAATATTTGATTTCATTTATCTAATCTCTTAATCAGAGATTAGAATTCTACCAATGTATGAGTAAATTTATGTTTAAGGATTTAAACCCAATACTTTTAATCTGAATACTTCTAACATTCCCAAGGAACAATTTGTTCATCTTTTAGAAAAGGGTCTGAATCAAAACCCTGGATCCAAACATTCCCACACTTTATGAAAGGTCTTAGACTCATCTCTATTCAAACTGACACCTGTTTTCCCAATTAAACATATTTTAGGGATTCAGCATAGCCCCAGGTGATAGGCACAAGCAATTTGTCTTTCTAGTTGACTGAACATTTTGGGTAAAAAATAGGCCTGATGCTCAACTCCATTGAAAATCAAACCCATTTTATTTAAATATAGAGTTAGGTGGCCAGGTGGAGGCATCCAACTTGTAAATGCTGGCATCAATTCTCTGCTACAGCTAAAGTCTAAAACTGTGGGTTGACTAAAACCAGGATATTTATGCACATCTGAGCTCTCTATTACTACATCTTAGTACTGTAGAGAAAAATGAAAAAACAAAAAACCAATACAACTACATTTTAATCCAGGTATTTTCACCCGTTTGAAGTTTGCACGGCAACCTAAAGTTTTTTAGCTTCTTGATTTTGAGTATTTTCTTTTTTTAGTCTTGGAACAACTAAAAGTTGGAAAAGCATAAGGAAAGAAGAACAACCCATCTCCTCTATTTTTGCTAATCTTGCTTTTCGGAGCCTCCCCCCATTTTCCTATATCACTAGAAATAATTAAAATAACACCTCACACAGAACAATAGATCCATCTCCCTTAGGATCACTTTGATATGTGTGTGTCTGGGGGTGGGGGTGGGGGTCAGGGCAACTAGAAATTAACAACCTGATCCTGCAAATGCTTTGTGACAGGAGTTACTTTAGTCAATGGAACAACTCGCTTGTGTCAGTATTGGTGAGGTCAGTCCTAAAGTTGTTGGTAAATGTGGGTATACTCCTTAAACAAATTAACCTAAGCTGCAAGCCTGCATTATACAACACATATGATATATCATCTAGTTAATTGAAAACATTTCAATTAATACAAATCAGTTATTGTATCATGTTGTTTTAAATCATTTTCCTGTCTCAATTACGCATCCTTATGTAGTTGTATGTCATGAACACACAATTGGGCATGGCGCTGAGATTCTACTGTAATTCAATCATTATGGAAAAATTTACATTCACATTCTTTTAGATTTAGTCTCTATGGAGACTACCAGGTTGCAACAAATCTGATTTTAATTATTGCTATTGTGAAGAATGCTTTCCACATATGGTTACATACTAATAAAGTGATTGAAAAATGCTATTATTTTTACATGCTTTTTAAGATTATTGTGATCCCTTGAATGTAAAAAAAAAGTGCTGTGAAAGCACAAGAAAATAATATAGGGACCTTAAATTTAACTTGGGTAGGCAGGAGAATCAATATTTAAAAGATCAAATAAAACCACATGACCATTTTTAATACATCTTTCAAACCTTCATAAAACATCATGATTCCTACCTAGCCTATGTGAAATGCTTGCATTTCAGAAAGAGGCACCGTCAACTTATTTCAAGCAACTTTGAAGCATATTCCCAAGGGCTCTTTCCATAATTCACTGATGTTTTGCTGTATTGGAGATCAGTTGCTTCATAATTTGTACTCCCCAGAATGCAATGCAGAGTGAAAATAAAACCTACAATATAAAGAACAGAGTGAAAAACATTAGAGAAGCTTTCTTAATTAAAAATTATATAGTAATTATGGTAAATGGATAAAAAGCAGAACTCTCCCAAGAGACACATCAATATAAGAATTCCAGGCATATTGTTAAATTATGAAGAATAGATGTTGGAGTCTACAGGCTTTAGGAATTTAACGGAAAGAGTTTTTCTCCCCTTCTCATAGTTTGCACTTCCTTGACATTTTACTAAACTTCTTTCAGTCCCTACCACTGAAAGAACACATCTATCCCTGGAAGATCCATTAAATATAGAAGTATTTTATTTAGAGAAGAAACATATTTAAGCAATAATGACTGAGGAACAGGGCATTTCTAGGGGATTAATGACCGGCTGGTAGATGATGATCACCTGAAGTACAGCCACGGGCCATTAAGCCCCAGGAAATGTCCTCAGCTGAGATTGTTATTACTATTATAAGTTGGAAAAAAAATCATGGGTGTATTTTTTAAATGGGGTGATGCAGTTCCTTCTCCTTCTCTTTTTTTAAATTAAACTCTTTATTGTGAGTTTGTTAAAGAATGCAATGTATGCTGGTGGGGGACTATTTCAAATTATAGCTGTTATATCCAGAATGACAAATCACACTCTGCAGAATTAGTTTGGCTTCAGAGTTCTACAAAAAATATTGATTCAATGCCTACTAAATTCAGGGTTGCTAATATTAAATGCAAAGTACTGCATTCATGAAACTATAAGGCTGCGCAAGTGGGAAAAAAACGCAGAGAATATAAATGGGCCACATCCAACCTTGCATCACAACAGTTCTGTGCTGCTCCACTGCCACAAAGCTGACCTAAAGCCAGCTGAGCCAACCACAGGAGGAACTGAGCAGAAGCCCGCTGCGTGGTCATAGACTTTAATTTTCTCTGGATCCTCCAGTACATTCTGTGCAACAGAGCCTGAGAAATTTGAACAGATTGTGTGATCTAGTGATTACACTAAAATAACACGAGAAAGTTTGGGGAGATTAAAGGGTGTGGACAGCAGGACAGAGCGTAAATGTATCCGACTGCTACCTTTGAACACATTTTGGAAAGTGCACACTTCCTAAACTGCTCAGGCATGCATAGTGTGCCTCCCACATAGTGCCTACCTTGCAGCTTACTGACATTTTCTGCTGTATAAACTCAATATATACTTTTCAGACTAATCACCTGGAAATTGCCATTCCCTGTCCAGACTCTTTATTCCTTGCCCCTCACTAAAAATTATTTACATGTCAATTTTCAAAGTAAACTAGACTATAACAAAAATGGTTGGAAAAAAAAAATCATGGTTAGTTTTTTGTTTTTTTTTAAACAGTGGGAAAGCACTTTTTTCCCCCTCTCCCAGAAGAGCTGACAGTTTCACCCTCAGACTTAAATAAAAAAATGTACTGTGGTCAGCAATCGTGCATGGAACATTTTAGCCCAAAACATACATTTTTCAGAATGCTGTAGCCAGTGAAAACAGATTTATAATGGAAACTGTTTTACAATCTTAATTTTAGCAGTTGCTACCAGTGACTGCAGTAGTATTATTACCCAGATAACTATGAAATCAAACTTCATATCTGTTATTTATACTGATGGAAGGGGAGCACACTCTTTCAAACATGTCCATATTTTCATTAGGTTCTTTTCATACAAACTCTCTCATTTAAATTGTCCACATTAGTCTAAATAGAACTATTCATGCAGATAAGGACATTGACAAGGGCATTGCAAATTTGGGCTCTTAGTAGACATGAAATCTTGGGATGCTCCTGTTAAATCTCAATGCAGGATTAGGGCTTAAATTTGCAAGATTGTAAACTGTTCTAAAATTCTTAGCGGAAGTCAAGTTTCCCTTTTTGTACTATAAGTTTGTTGCTGACAACTGATGCTTTAAATAGCCCATCATATTGCCTCTGGTTTACACTGATGAATGAGGAAAACTTATTTAACATAAATAGATGTGGTTTGCATGGCAGCTGAATCAGAACAATAGTAACAAAAATAAAAAATAAAAACCCAGTATATATTATGTCTCTCCAAGACCTCTTACCAGAACGGTTTTAAAACCACAGTCCCATATGCAGCAATGTTTCTGATATGCATTTCCAGGATTAGTTAGCATTAATTATGTTTTTGCAGGGATCCAGTCAATCTATAAAAGGTGGAGTTTGGGTTTTTTGGGTGGGATAACTGTAGTCTCATATCCTCCATAGGGTTTTTATTTCCTTTTTAGCATTTGATCACACTGGTGCTGCATAGTCTGTGTCTGAAGATGTGCATCATACTTGTTTTACAATTGCTAGATCGTATACTATTTCGTTCTGGATTAGGTCTATGTCTAGAATCACAGCATATGCTCTCAGTAAATATTTCATTGCTTAGTGCTAAAATAATCTTCACTGCACCTGCACACGTAGGTTTGGTATGATACTAATGCCCTATCCACATTAGGCGATTGACTTGATGCTGAAGACAGTTATCAGCATTAGGTTCCCCTTGAGCTGGTGCTGGCAATGGTTTAACAGCTGCAGTAGACAAGATAAAAGTTTTCGAAAAGTCATTAAAGAAAGAGTCCTTGAGATTTGCTTCTAACGGGTCTCAAAAATGCTTTCTGCCAAGATGTTGAAAATGGCTTTGTTCTGTCTACACTAGTAATGAAGCCATTGTTAGCATCTTTTTCAAGGGGGCCAGCTGCTGATAAACATGAGTGTAAACTTTCGAATAAACACTTAAGTGGTGGTACAACAGTGTTCCACATTGATAAGATAGTGTTTGGGCACAGCACTCCAGATTCCTCAGATACATGAGCTTATTGGTTGTGATACTAGCACTGAACACTAGTTTTACAGTGATCTTCTTGCTTTTACATATAAATCAGTTGGAGGGGGCAGAGTTAGCTAGAAGAGAGAAAAGAGATGCATCTAGGCAGGAGACCTACTGCAGCTCTGCTGGAAGTCAGGATTTGGAAAGAATGGGCATAGGTCTGCGCTTCCTGTGTGCTCTTTTGGGGCTGGGCAGCAACAGGGCAGCAGAAAAGCAACACAGTACTAGTAGATCAGCAACAATGCAGATCGAGCAGCCATTTCCCATGTGGAGGTGGAGTGTAGAGGCCTCAGACACTGCTGTGACTAAAAAGCTATAATAGTGCCTGTAGACCAACTGGGGGAGGAGGAGGGGAATTCCTTCCACCCTAACTCTTCATCTCCCCAATGCCCAGTCCGATTTCTCAGGCTGTGTGCTGGCTACGGGGTTTGGAAGTGTATGGGGTGGGAAAGGAAGTAGAAGTTTCTTTTGCCTTTTTTTTTTTTTTTTTTTGGGTAGACCATGCATTCAGTTTAAAGTGGCACTTTGATTTGTATTAAAGTTGTATTTCTCCATGCAATTCTTAGAAAGACAGTATAACTCATACAGACTGGGCATTTCTAGAGCATGGGGGTTGATTAGTATAGCGCTAAATACCTTCAGCACCCACTGATTTCAATGAGAACTAAGGCAGCTCACAGGAATACTTGGCGCCCTGAAGAGCTGAGACATTAGGACCCAATACAGCACGGTACTGAAACACATGCCTAAATTTCAGCACATGTGTCATAAATATAAAGGGAAGGGTAAACCCCTTTGAAATCCCTCCTGGCCAGGGGAAAGCTCCTCTCACCTGTAAAGGGTTAAGAAGCTAAAGGTAACCTCGCTGCCACCATGTCAAGGTTCCTCCCCCACTCTGAACTCTAGGGTACAGATGTGGGGACCTGCATGAAAAACCTCCTAAGCTTATCTTTACCAGCTTAGGTCAAAACTTCCCCAAGGTACAAAATATTCCACCCGTTGTCCTTGGACTGGCCGCTACCACCACCAAACTAATACTGGTTACTGGGGAAGAGCTGTTTGGACGCGTCCTTCCCCCCAAAATACTTCCCAAAACCTTGCACCCCACTTCCTGGACAAGGTTTGGTAAAAAGCCTCACCAATTTGCCTAGGTGACTACAGACCCAGACCCTTGGATCTTAAGAACAATGAACAATCCTCCCAACACTTGCACCCCCCCTTTCCTGGGAAATGTTGGATAAAAAGCCTCACCAATTTGCATAGGTGACCACAGACCCAAACCCTTGGATCTGAGAACAATGAAAAAGCATTCAGTTTTCTTACAAGAAGACTTTTAATAAAAATAGGAGTAAATAGAAATAAAGAAATCCCCCCTGTAAAATCAGGATGGTAGATGTCTTACAGGGTAATTAGCTTCAAAAACATAGAGAACCCCTCTAGGCAAAACCTTAAGTTACAAAAAAGATACACAGACAGAATGTCAAATAGGCCTAAACAGAGTGACTTACCTTGGACACCAGGTGGGTCAAGGAACTATCAGCCCCCTACAGGCCAAAGTGGATGCTATCCAAAAGTGGCCTGTCCCAAAGTCAAAGAAACAGGTTCAATCCTTCTTAGGCTTGGCCGGTTATTACAGACGATTTGTACCGCACTACAGCCAAATCGCTGCCCCACTGACAGACCTAACCAAAAAGAAACAGCCAAATGCTGTTCAGTGGACCGGAAAGTGTCAGAAGGCCTTTAACAAGCTTAAAGCGACACTCATGTCTGACCCTGTACTAAGGGCCCCAGACTTTGACAAACCGTTTCTAGTAACCACAGATGTATCCGAGCGTGGTGTGGGAGCAGTTTTACTGCAGAAAGGACCTGATCAAGAATTCCACCCTGTAGTGTTTCTCAGCAAAAAACTGTCTGAGAGGGAAAGCAACTGGTCAGTCACTGAAAAAGAATGTTACGCCATTGTCTATGCTCTGGAAAAGCTACGCCCATATGTTTGGGGACGGCGTTTCCACCTGCAAACCGACCATGCTGCACTGAAGTGGCTTCACACCGTCAAGGAAACTAACAAAAAACTTCTTCGGTGGAGTTTAGCTCTCCAAGATTTTGATTTCGACATCCAACACATCTCAGGAGCTTCTAACAAAGTGGCTGATGCACTCTCCCGTGAAAGTTTCCCAGAATCAACTGGTTAAAATCGTCCTTGAGATGTGGAAAATATTGTTAGTCTTTATGTACTTGGTAGTATATTTAGAGATGCATGTGTCTTATTAACTCTGTTTTTCCTAGAGCTCCAGGAAGAAATCCCAGCCAGTGTTTCACCCTAGCTGAGATTTGGGGGCGTGTCATAAATATAAAGGGAAGGGTGTGCGAAGTGGGCGTTCAATGTTTCTCTGAATAGTGTGGGGGTGCTCAGTTTCCCTAGGCAGTTCTTAAGTATCTGGGTGGTGGGGTAAGGGTGTATGATCATTGAGGCTAGAGGGAGTGTGTGAGGAGTCTGGACACAGAGAATGGCGACACCCTGTTTCCTGGCAACTGATGGTGGGCCCCCCCCTGCAAGGTGAGAGCTGAAGGGTTGGAGAACAAAGGAATCAGGTGACTCCTGGCGGAAAGAACAAAGCCAGAGGAGGAGGGGTGGGGGGTTTAGTTTGGGGCTGGCTGGGACATGGAGTGAAGTGCAGACGTGGTTGTCTGGCTCACTGCCCCCAGAATGGACCCAGCTGAGGGTCCCGTCTCTGCACCTGCAAGCTCTGTTTTAGACCATGTTCCTGTAGTCTAATAAACCTTCTGTTTTACTGGCTGGCTGAGAGTCACGTCTGACTGCGAAGTTGGGGTGAGGACCCTCTGGCTTCCCCAGGAGACCGCCTGGCGGATCGCTGTGGGAAGCGCACGAGAGGCAGAGGATGCTGAATGCTCCGAGGTCAGACCCAGGAAGGTGGAAGCTGTGTGAGCTTGTGTCCTGAAGACAGGCTGCTCACAGAAAGGCGACTACCCCAGAGTCCTGACTGACTTCATGGGGAGCAGTTCCAGAGCATGCCCAGGGATCCGTGACAAAGGGTAAACCCCTTTGAAATCCCTCCTGGCCAGGGGAAAGCTCCTCTCGC